AGAAGCGCCGATGAGCTGGAATGTTGCAGCCTCTCCAGGGTCTTGTGATTTACATTCAGATGCTTGGCAACCGATTCATATTTATGACGGTCACAGTGTCCCAGGGTCCTGTGAAGTGACCCAAACCTGCTGCAACCACCCAGCAGACGGGGGGAATAAAAACCAAACACCCCCCACCCCACCCCCACTGCCAATCCTCAACAAATGCTCACAACAATGGAAACCTCGGACAGGAGGAAGAGTGCAGCTGGGTGGGCAGGCAGGTGTCTTGCTCGGCTGTGGCTTGGGGGTCATTTTTTTCAGTGCCATTGTAACTTCGAACAGTCACTAAGCGAACTGTTGTAAGTCCAGGACTACCTGTACTTTATCACTTTTTTCCTTTTTTTTTTTGGTCATCAAGTTTTTGACCCCTTGCTAGGCGACTGGTGGTACTCAGATGTTGCCATATCCTAAAAGTGGTACAATGGGTGAAAAGGTTGAAAAGCCCTGCTCTATTCCACAGAGAGGCATTTTCAAATGTCCAAAGGGCATCCATTCCACTCACACACCGTGATGATCCTGGCTGCTCCTTCTCTTCTGCCTCTGCCCAAAAATATTGGACGTCACGCTGCTGTTGCTACTGTAATAACTTCCCCAGAGGCAGCCCTTCCGTGCCCCAGCCGGCGCCCAGGGAAGCCATTACATCTACTTTACCAGCAAGCCTATGTCCTGTGTCCTAATCCCTTCACTTCTTGGGGCCACGAGCAAAACAATGCAACGGTTTCTTAGGCCTGGGGTCGAGCTTCCTGCCTCCTAAGCCGGGATCAAACCATATTGCTCTTGAGAGCAAACATCACCGTTAACCCAGAACAATTACAGATAGTCCTCAACTTGCCATCATTCGTTTAATGACTGACGTTACAACAGCATTGGAAAAAAGTGGGTTATGGCCGTTTTGCACACTTGCGACAGTTGCAGCCTCCCCGGGGTCACGTGATCAAAATCCAGTCGCTTGGCAAATGGCTCATATTGATGACGTCCGCAGTGCCCCTGGGGTCATGCGATTCCCTTTTGCAACCTTCTGACAAACAAAGTCAGTGGGGGAAGCCAGCTTTGCTTAACAACTGCCTGGGTCATTTAAGAACTAAGTAACAGAAGGACAGAGTTGGAAGGGACCTTGGAGGTCATCTAATCCAACCCCCTGCTCAAGCAGGAGACCCTATCCCAGTGGTGGCGAACCTATGGCACGGGTGCCAGAGGTGGCACTCGGAGCCCTCTCTGTGGGCACACATGCCATTGCTCCAACCTTGCCTCCCCCTGCGACCCCCTCCTCACGAGCAGCCCCCCTGGAGGAGTCGTCCCTGAGCGTGGCCCATGCAGAGCAGCGCAGCCAAGGACATGGCAGTCAGGCAGCATAGACAAGACTCTGCCCGCATGCCCCATCGCACACAGTTGATGCTGTGGGCAGAGGGTGTGGCCGCCATGGCGCTGCTGGGCAGCCTGGGCGATCGGCGGGCCCTGGAGGCAGTGAGTGGCCCTGCGGGCAGGTGGGGTGGGGCAGGGGGTGGAGTGGGGGTAAGGCCAGTTTTTGGGCACTCGGTCTCTAAAAGGTTCGCCATCACTGCCCTATCCCATTTATACCATTTAAATTAAATTAAGCAGTGAAATCGCTTAACAACTCGCAAGGAAGGGAAAACTCTAACAGCTGTCTCACTTAGCAGTGGAAAATTTGGGCTCAATGGTGGTCATAATTCAAGGACTGCCTGTGTTTGCACCTAAGGACCTAGTGAATGCCTTCCTTGACATCATGTGGTTAGAATAGAATAGAATAGAATAGAATAGAATAGAATAGAATAGAATAGAATAGAATAGAATAGAATAGAGAACTGAAGAATAGAATAGGATAGGATAGAATAGAATAGAATAGAATAGAATAGAATAGAATAGAATAGAATAGAATAGAGCTGGAAGGGATCTTGGAGGTCTTCTAGTCCAGCCCCTTGCTCGAGCAGGAGAACCTATACCATTTCAGACAACCCCACGATTTCTGGTGGCGAGCTGTTCCACTGGTTAGCAAGCCCCAGTGTTATACTTCTGCCTTTGTGAGGGTCCTCAGCAAGACAGGGAAGGGCGCAGTCCCCTTTCTTCCCCCTCCTCACGCCCTCCTCTCCTCTCATCTTGTTCCTCAGCTGAGCCCTGACTGGCAGGTGGACTACGAATCCTACACCTGGCGGAAGGTGGACCCGGACAGCGAGGAGTGCAAGGAGCTGGTGAAGGAGTACTTCACTTGGGAAGGCGACTTCAAGCACGTCGGGAAAGCGTTCAACCAAGGCAAGATCTTCAAATGAGGCGGCCGGACGACGCCAGCCCCCCCCTCCCCCAAATACGGACACGATGAGGGACATCTCTCTGGAGCGGCTACCACCGCCGCTGTTAAGGAAGACAAAAATTTAAACAGAAGACCGACTCAGGCAGCAGGAGAGGCAGTGACATTCTAAGCTGTGCATTAAAATCCTGAGCGCATTAATTTATCCTTTATTTTATTTTCGTTTGCATCTGCTTGCCGGTGGAAAGAGGGGAGGGGCTTCGCATCCGGGCTGCAAAGTGACGGGTGGGGAGATGAAGGCGGGATTTCTGCTGTGTCTTTACAGGCTTACCACAGTTCATTTAGTGACCGTTCAAAGTTACAACTGCGGCTGTCGGCCATTTTACACAGTTATGACCTTTGCGTCCTCCCCAGGGTCACGTGATCAAAATTCAGAGGCTTGGCAACTGACTCATATTTGGGATGGCTGCAGTGTCCCGGGATCAGGTGATCCCCTTTTGTGACCTCCTTGAGAAGCAAAGTCAACGGGGAAGTAAGATTGACTTAACCACCGTGTTACTAACTTCTCTCCGTGTGGCTGTAGCTCCCTTAAGGACTTACTGTATGTGCTTTTCTACAATTTTATTTTAGTCTAAAGATTGAAATACAAAACCCCAAAGAAAAGCAATTAGACCGAGACACAACAATACTAGACCGAAATGTTAAAAAAAAAAGTGAATTAAAAAAAGGACAAAAACACACATAATCCCCCGTAGTTGAACACTGATAAATGGATTGCAACAATAATAGCTTCTCTTCCTTTTGCAAAGCAGGTCCAAAATTTAGAAGCTTGTGCATGTATTTGCAGCCAATCATGATGAGATCTGTCCTGTGAGCAAGATACGCTTATATCAGTGGTGGCGAACCTATGGCACGGGTGCCAGAGGCGGCACTCAGAGCCCTCTCTGTGGGCACATGCGCCGTCGCCCCAGTCCTAGGCCTTCAGCTGGGTTTTATAAAACCTTTTCACTTTAGGCCTCCGCCGCCGTGTGCAAAAAAAAAAAAAAAAGGTTCAATCAGTCAATTTCAACTTCTGGGGGAAAAAAAAGATCTTGCAAAGTTGGAACTGATTGATTGAACTTTTTAGTCCCACCCAGTCTGCTGTTACCACCGCAGCCACGGCCACCCAATGGGCCATGCCCACCCGGCACCCGACAATACATAAGTGGGTTTGGGTTGTGGTTTGGGCACTCGGTCTCTAAAAGGTTCGCCATCACTGGTTTAGGGTCTCCTGCTTGAGCAGGGGGCTGGACTAGGAGACCTCCAAGGTCCCTTCCAGCTCAATTGGCCACACCTACCCGGCACCCGACGATGCATAAGTGGGTTTGGGGTTGCAGTTTGGGCACTCGGTCTCTAAAAGGTTCGCCATCACTGGCCTATATTTTCCAATGTACTGTATTTGCAGTCCAAACGCAGATTGCATTTCTGGTTTTACAGTGCTTTGCTAAGACCACACTTGGAATAACTCCATCCAGTTTTGGCCATCACGATATAAAAAAGATGTTGAGACTCTAGAGCAGGGATCTTCAAACATGGCCCTCGCTGACTGAGGAATTCTGGGAGTTGAAGTCCACAAGTCAAAAAAGGCCATGTTTGAAGACCCCTGTTCTAGGGAAAAAGTGCAGAGAAGAGCAAGCAAGAAGATTAGGGGGATGGAGGCTCAAACATAACAGTTGCTGGAGTGACTAGTTGTCTAGTTTAATGAAAAGAAAGACGGGGGACATGATAGCTGTCTTCCAATATTTGAGGGATTGTCACAAAGAAGAGGGGAGGTCAAACTATTTTCCAGAAGGCAGAAGCAGCAGCAATGGATGGAAACTAATAAGGAGAGAAGCAACCTAGAACTAAGGAATTTCTTGACAGTGAGAACGATCAGTGGAACAGCTTGCCACCAGAAGTTGTGGGTACTCCAATACTGGAGGTTTTAAAGAAGAGGTTGGATAAACCATTTGCCTGAGCGCGGAGGGGAGGCGAGTTGGACTAGAAGACCTCCAAGGTCCCTTCCAATTCTTCTGTTATTCTGACCTGTCACACATTACATTTATGAAAGAAAAAAATAGTTAGCTGGTTAAACAACAGCTGCCTCTCTAGCAGTCGGATGCGTGGGCTCTGCCGTCCAATGCACCACAGCAGTGGTTGAAGTGGAGCTGCTGGGTTTTGCAGTAGCCAAACATAAGCAAGCTGCTTAGGACAAAAGGCGGCTTGCCTGTGTTTGTCTGCACCCGGCTCCTTTGTGCGGCAGCTGAACTTGGCATCTGTTTGGCAAAGGTGCCTGCAGGATGGGCGCCAACTTCCCCTTTGCCAATCAGCAGCTGGCTCACATTTCTAACACTCAAACCAAGCTGCAAATTAAGAGCTGTTCTTTCCATTCTTTCTCTCCCCTCCCCCCCAATCTCCCCTCAAGGAGTTGCTGGGTTTTGTCTCTGCCAGGAAGTGATGGGACTTTTTCCGTTTATTTTCTTTATTTGTATCCCGCTTTTATTATTTTTACAAACAACTCGAGGCAGCGAAGACACACTGTGCTCCTTCCTCCTCCTATTTTCCCTCACAAGAACCCTGTGAGGTGGGCCGGACTGAGAATGATGCCTAAAGTCACCCAGCCAGCTTTTGTGGCTAAGGCAGGACTTGAACTCGGGGCTTGCTGCTTGGCCTTCACCTCTTAACCAGGGATCTCCAAACTTGGTGGCTTTAAAAACTTGTGGGCTTCAATTCCCAGAATTCCTCAACCAGCATGGAGACCCCCTGGTTTAAACCAAGGAAAGCAAAGTTGCCAGGTTTTGAGGTCCCTGGTTTAAACCAAGAAAAGCAGAAACTGACCTCTCTAGGAGAAAGAATCTCTGCCATCTTTTATGTCTCTATGCTCTCTGGTCCTCCCATCACTGCATGGCTGGCGGGGGAATTCTGGGAATTGAAGTCCACAAGTTGCCAAGTTTGGAAACCCCTGCACTAGAACCCAAACTGTCTCATATTTCCATCTTTGGCTGCAGATCCTTGGAAATCAAATCAAGGTGTCCAAAATTCAGGACTCGGATCATTTTGTTTCTCTATTTGCAGGAAGCTCTCCCCCGTGCACTGAGCTCCCAGAATCCCCCGCTGCGGGAGAGTCGAAGGCTGAGATAAGGCAGGTCTGACTTGCCAGCTTGTTCAGTTCAGGCCTGAAAGAGGCAGGTAGGTGGGTGGAGATGACGCCGGATTTCGTTGCCAGACACCGGTGCCCCATCAGCCTGGCTTCGTTCCCAGAGGAAGTGGGGAGGCCTGCCTGGTTTCTGGAGAAAGCACCATCCCAGATGCTAAGAGATTTCCCTGCTCGTGCCTCTGTTTTATGTGAAAGTAAAGAAAAAGGCCAAGGTTGAGGTCAAACACCACCCCATCCTTTGGGTTGATTTTGGCCGTGGCTGACCCCCTTCCTGACCGGGGTGAAAAACCACATATTTAAAATGCTACCTGCACATTTGAGCATTTTATGCTAAACCTTTCTGGAACTGTTCTGTTTTGAAAGGATAAAGAGCTCTTCTTGCATTATGCGCCTCTCCCCGAAGGTAGATCTCTCTGCCACTATTAATTAAATTTATACGCTGCCTGTCTCACTATCAAGTAATTGGATAGCTAACTATGCCAGAAGTGACCATATAAAACAATTTAGAAAGTGAAAAACATTCAAACACTGGGGGTTGAAAGCATTAAAATTCGCACAAACTAGATAAAAAGACCAAAAACACAGATAGTCAACTTACAACAGTTAGTTTGGTGACTGTTGGAAGTTACAACGGCGCTGAAAAAAATGACTTATGGCCATTTTTCACACTTAGCGACCGTTGCAGCCTCCCCACAGTCCTGTGATCAAATTCAGACGCTTGGCAAGCGACTCACATTTATGACGGTTGCAGAGTCCCGGGGTCATGTGATTCCCCCTTTTGCGACCTTCTGACAAAGCAAAGTCAATGGGGAAGCCGGATTCACTTAACAACCATGTTACTGACTTAGCAACTGCACTGATTCGCTTAACAACGGTGGCAAGAAAGGTCGTAAAATGGGGCAAAGCTCGCTTGGCAACTTCAGCCACAGAAAGTTGGGGCTCTAGGGTCATAGGTCAAGGACTACTTGTGCTAGAAACGGCAGGTAACGAAGCATCAGCTATGCCAAAGGGCTTATTGGAATTAGAAATTAGAAATTGCTATCCCTTATCTGCAGCCGCAAGTTTCTCAAAGTCCCTTTGTGCAGCCAGGGTTAGGCTTCTCTCTGCAGCAAATGTGTCTTCGAAGTGTGTTTGTGCAGCTGGAATCAAGAATACGTGTTAGCACCGCTTTACAATGCCTTGGTAAGGCCACACTTGGAATACTGCAGTGGTGGCGAACCTATGGCACGGGTGCCAGAGGCGGCACTCAGAGCCCTCTCTGTGGGCACGCGCGCCGTCGCCCCAGTCCTAGGCCTTCAGCTGGGTTTGATAAAACCTTTTCGCTTTAGGCCTCCACCGCTGTGTGCAAAAAAAAAAAAAGGTTCAATCAGTCAATTTCAACTTCTCGCGGAAAAAAAAAAGATCTCACAAAGTTGGAATTGATTAATTGAACTTTTTAGTCCCACCCAGTCTGCTGTTACCACCGCAGCCACGCCCACCCAATGGGCCACACCCACCCAATGGGCCACACCCGCCCAGCACTCGACGATGCATAAGTGGGTTTTGGGTTGCAGTTTGGGCACTCGGTCTCTAAAAGGTTCGCCATCACTGGAATACTGCATCCAGTTTTGGTCACCACGATGTAAAAAAGATGTTGAGACTCTAGAAAGAGTACAGAGAAGAGCAACAAAGATGATTAGGGGACTGGAGGCTAAAACATACAAGGAACGGTTGCTGGAATTGGGTATGTCCAGTTTATGAAGAGAAGGACTGACAGGATAGCAGTATTCCAGTATTTGAGGAGCTGCCACAAAGAGGAGGGGGTCAACTTATTTTTCAAAGCACCAGAACAAGGCAAGACAAGGAACAATGGGTGGAAACTAATCAAGGAGAGAAGCAGCCTGGAATTAAAGAGAAATTTCCTAACCATGAGGACAATCAACCAGTGGAACAGCTTCCTTTCAGGAGTTGTGGGTGCTCCAACCCTGGAGGTTTTCAAGAAGAGACTGGAAGCTATTTGTCTGGAATGGTATAGGCTCTCCTGCCT